TTCTATGTGATGACGCAGGTGAAGTACTTAACTGGGTCTGGCATGAAGACACGTTGAACCCACCATTTCAGGGCCCGTGGCTGTATTTATATGAATGGCATGTGAGCTCGTGTTCCTGAGCTAAAGTATGCTACTCATCCACATTACCTTTTACATGTTGCTATTTTGGTAACAAGAGAGAGCCACATAAAGGTGCAAAGGCACAGAGGTTTTTTTGAAATGATGACGTGTTGAATTGCGGCTTTCAAAAATGTTTACACGTATATTGTGACACCAAAGTTCATTCGGTCTCCTGTTGGTGATGTTGCCAAAAATGCCAGCCAAACTCACACCAGACTTGATGCATTGGCAAAACATATTATTCCACACAAACATTTTATACATATATATATTTAATATATATTAATATATATATGTATATAAATATATATATACATATATATTAATATATATTTAATATATATGTATATAAATATATATTTAATTTATATACTTATATATACATATATATTAATATATATGTATATAAATATAATATATACATATATATATTTAATTTATATACATATATATTAATATATATGTATATATATATATATATATATATACATAATATATATTAATATATTATTAAATTAAATTAAAACATATTATTCCACACAAACATTTTACATCCAACCAATACTGCGGCAGCCGACTGGTCCAATTTTGAACCTCATTGTGGACAATAAGACCATCACAAAAGGTTAAATATAAGCTAGGTGTATTCAAGCATTGGTGATTACTTCTCCATGTCGAAAACCGGGAAAATATTTATTCAGAACTTATCGTACCTTATCATACCTTTTCCTTGCTCGCTCAAGGTGTTAGTATGAGTGACTCAGTGAATCTGGGCTTACTGTATACAGTATGACTCTGGCCCTGGGGTATGCAGGCTCACATCCAACCTTTTCAAGGACAAGAAAAATATGTCACCCAGCTCCACTTACATGGCTCAGACCCCCATATCCCACCACCTCTAATTCCTGTTCTCTGTGCTGCATTAAAGCGCGTATGAGTGGCATTAAGTTGTCATACCCTGGAGTTAGCAGAGACTCACCGCACTCCAGAGAGACCTGGCACCGAGAGCGGCATTTTCAGTTAAGTCTACCTCAAGCAGGACTCGGGAGATGCCACCTCGAACAAGAACCCTTTCCCAAAGCCAGATAGAGTCCCAAATCCTGTAAAGCTGAACTTTATTTTAAGGGCCTGGTGCAATTTCAACTGCAAATGTTTGACATTAGATCATCACAACAATGCAGTCAAAAACAGAATAAGCACACATGCTATTGTACCGCTACCTAAATTAGCAGAGCTCAACCTTTTCAGCACCAAGGGCCAGCTGTTACCGAGGCCTCGTAGCATCGCGCCATCTTTGAATAATCCTACTCTGTTAGTATCGGAGTCTGAATGACATATTATTTTGAAATATTACCAGATTCTCTTTTTAGATAAAGGAAGTAAACGATATAGCTGGATTCTCTTGGAATAAAGTCAATTAGTAAAATGGAATTTTTCTTCACTGTGGCCTGGTACCAAGTGACCTACGGAGTGGTACTGGTCTACGAACCAAGGGTTGGGGACTCCTGACTTAAATAATATTGAGAGACGTATATATGCATATATCCCAAATGTGTATCGGTAGACCGTTTTAAAAAAAAAAAACCTTCATAAAATGAATCTTCACATGTACTTTTTTTTTTTTTTCAAGTTCTCACCTGTCGTGACATTGAATAATGAGTTACATTGTTAGGTAGGATTGAAGTCAAACAAAGCAGTTGTGTTTTTCATCCGTTGGTGCTATAATAAGACAAGGGGCTCAACATTCTGTCACACTCTGCTTTCAAGTTGCTCTTAACGCAGATGAATAGCTGCTTATTCCAACATGTGTGCAATGTGCGTGTTCACTATGTACAACACTTGATTTCCTTTTCTGGAAAAAGAACATTATTATTACCTGATGATTATTTGGTTTTCCTTCACCACAAAGACTGAATTTGAGGGTTGGTACAATGCAATTTTTTTTACAAAATGATAGGAGTATTTTCATTTGTGTACTTTCTATAATTGAGTTGATGTCACCGTTACTTTTTTACCGTAGGTTGGGTTTCAATAAATATGCAAAGAACTTGACAGGACAATGTTCTTGGTTTGATGATACTATTGAGCGCACCTGAATATAAGCCACGCCCACTAAATTTAAAAAGAAGAAAATAGTATAGATATATAGGCTGTACTTCTCTATAAGATGCAGGTGTTCACGTTGTAACATGGGATATTTACACAGAAAGATTTTTTTTTTTTTTTACTTTTAATGAAATAAATGCTTTTTTCCGAACAGTGCCTCTAACACGGCTGGTTACACGTTAGCTCTTTCCTGCTTCGGCGCCCTGACCGTAGTTGGAATGAACAGGGGAGACTTAGTGATCTGCTTCAGGTCCGAAGCTAACATTAGCTCCGGGGCTAACTCCCTTCAATTTGTGCTTTTCCGCAGCAGAGGTGAACAGAAACAGGGAAGTCGGGGTCTTTATTATCATTTCAAGATGACAGGGCTCAAACTGCTCTCAACTTCTCTCCCTACCATTCCCTCTCTCGCACGCCCCACCCACATATATACGCACACAGCCATTATACGCTACTAGTATAACACACAGTAGCCTACCAGAAAAGCCGTGGATCGCTAGCGGCATGAACTTTGTTAGCCTGTAAAAAAAATCCATAAATTAGCCGCATCATTGTTTAAGCCACAGGATTCAAAATGTGTGAAAACAGAAAGTTGTTCTTAGCCTATAAGGAAACAGATCTTTCTATAACGGAACAGAAAGTAATCAAATCGACATTAAACAATATAAAAAAACAATAATTAAAAAACAATAATAACGACTAGCGATAAAAAAAAAACAGGGGTCTTCAATATCATTATCAGTGAACAGAAAGTGAGCAGAGATTTTCACCAATAATGTATCACAATTAATAACAAAGAGAACGAGTAGCACTATTCCAGTGTTTCAATAAAAAAAGTCTCAATTAATTTCTGTATATTTTCATCTGTACAAACCACTGTATGAGTTGCTGCCACCTAGTGACTGGAGGCTTGTTATCATTCAAGCATTACAGCAGTGGTACACTTATGTCCAGCGTGCCATATTAATTAGCACGTAAGCACAACTACTGGGTAAAATGCTAGTACCGCATCCGAGCAAATCTTAGGAACCACTTTAGAAGTTAAAGAAGAAGAATTTACAATTAACTACAATGTGGTCAGATGTTGGTAGAGCTTCCTCACTGATCATAGCTTTTCGTGTGTTTTACCATACACGTATGTTGGAGGGGCATGTAAAGCTTCTGTCATGTATCTATTGCAATTTGGTCCAATTAATAAATGTGAAATATAGTTAATGTACTTCATTCATGTACATGTAGCGTCCATTATGTTGCTGTATATATTCCAACTCTACTTTTCCAACTGTTTTCACACCCAACCATGCATTATATCCCTTTCATGCATGACGGTCACTACAGTGGACAGCTATGAAAATGTCATTTTCTATGATAGGAATAGGTTTTGATGGCAGTGTTGCATATAAGCCTCTACAGTGGACGCCTGAGAATCACCCAACACTGCCATACGGTGGTCAGGCTTTGCAACTGCAGAATAATTGTGTCAACATTCAAAAAGAAAATTTGGTGTATAAAAACAGAACCAAATCTTCAGTTCTTATTTTTATGTCTAAAAACACATAAAAACACTTAGTAAGGACTGGTCTAGGCCAAACACCTAAGAGAAAAACAAAACATCCGTGGTGATGCACTTGTCTGCACTGACCCCATTTCTGGTCCAGCTTTCCTGCTGTGCCAGTTTCTGCCTTATGCAGCATGTCAGGTGTCTGGGTAATTCTAGAACTGGCAAGGAATCGGCCACTGCATGCGGTAAGAACTTTGTCGCTGGCATGTTGATCTGAGAGAGACAGATACTTTTCTAAGTATGTACAGAAGCATTGACATATACTGCAGCCTGCGGTGTTCACACGAAGACTGCCGGTTGCTGAAAAATCGGTATGCAGCTATCTACGGTCTTGAAAAGACGAAACACAAAACCCTCTGACGGCACTCAACTGTCCGTCTTACTTACATCGTCCTGTTTTCACTTGACACGGAGGAAATTATCCTCTATGGTCAAACTAAACATCAGCAAAGACAAAATACTAATCAATTGAACTTGTCTTTAATTCATATTTTATACATATGTTTGTATTCATAACTTAAATGTTTCTGGTGTCCTCACGTTGGATATTTTCTGCTGGAACAAAAATGTCACAAAGGTATACCCAATATAAATACTGTATTATATTCTTCTAGCTTTCATTTACTCACAATTCCTACTCTCTGGGTGTGAAGCCTGTTTAGTGGAACACAAGTCAACACCAATTCCTGTTTTTGTTGTTTGTTTTTTTTTTAGTTAATATTTTTATACTTTCTTCTAAATCCATTTTATAAACCTAAAATATCTCAAACTGCCGTTTATTTAGTACAAAATTAAGACTGTGTAACTTTAACTTTAACATCCTTTTCAGTGCGACATTTGACATTGACGAATCTTTTTCAGTGCGACATTTGACATTGACGATGATGGATTCCGCACACCGACGGTGACAAGGTCACTTTCTAATGCTCCAGTTCAAATTTGAGCCCTGTCGTCTTGACACCATCTTCTCATTTTCTTTCCACGTTTTGTACCCACCGGATTCCAGAGGTGTCAGATATCTGTATCAGTCAGACTCCTTTGGACTTTTTAAGGTTAGGGCCTCCCCACTTCAGTTTACCAAGGGTATAAAAGTCAAGTGTTGGGCGAAGATTTGGCACCATTACGTCTTAAAGAATTCTAAAGC